TCCCCAGCCCCATGCAGCAACCTAGGATGCTGGACCCTTGCCAGGGGCACCCACTCCAAAAGCAAACTCTGAAATCTGACCTCTGTGGGTCGACTTACGACCCCAAGCCTGGGCTCTGACCAGAGACACCAACCGTTGACCCTCAATCTCAGAACTGGGCTTCCCACACCTGCCACCTATGCTTTGGCTCTGGATCCAGATCCTCAACCCCAGGATAAGATTTCCAACCATAACCTTCAGCTCAGACCCAGAGATTGAATCCTGACTCCAAACATATGTCTGGACATGGGTCCCAAATATCAGAAATTCTAATTCCAGATTCTCAACCCCAGGACAAGACCCCCTCAACTCTAATCTCATGTCCTTCCCTGAGACCCTAAGCTTAGAAATCAGACCCCACCAGAGCCCCTAATGTGGAGCCTGGGCTGGTGACTCAGAAACTATTAGGCTGATCAATGACTTCAACTATAGGACCTGGCATCCCACAACACCAACTCTGCCCTGATCGAAGCCCCCAGCTGTGAACACAAGAATCCATAACCTCAGCTCTAAGCCAGGACCTGGATGCCTGGACCCAGGGCACTGGGTTTGGACACTGGATGCTATACAATTTGACCTGTCCAGAAACTCTAACTTAAGCACCCCAATCTTAACTCCATGCCCTGACCTGGCAACCTGGTTCCTTCCCTCTGGACCCTGTCTTTGAATTGCAGCCAGAAATCCCCAAAGTGGGTCACCAACCAAGGATCCCTAACTCATACCCCAGCCTCAGACCCTTGACAATCCTGTCTAAGCCTTCTTGGGCTGAGGTCCCCACCTAAGATTAGACACTTGGACTTACAGCTTGACTCTCACACCCGATTCTAACACCAAGAATCTGGCCCATGACCTCTAACTCTGATCTTGTGCCTTGACCTCAGTTTGGCACCCCAATCTGAGATCACAGTCCACAATCCAGATCCAAGTTCCAGATCCCTAATTCCACCCTCCCTGGACAGGCCTGAGCCTGGAATGCTGGAACTCCTTCACAGGTTGCTGAGACCCTGAGCAACCGAGGGGACCTGGAGCCAGGATCTTGACTAGAGACACCAGAGTATCAGAATCATGAGCTGGGATACCCCCAACCCAGCACCCTAACCGGAGCATCCCAGCCAAACAAGGAGCCCTCATCCTTCAAACTAGGAATCAGCGCTCTGGACTGTGAAATCCCAATCAGGAATTCCAGCGCCCCATCACATGATTCCTAAATTTCCTGCCAGAGATTCTTGACCCCAGTTTCCCATGCTAGAACTTTTAATCATAGACTCTCTTCAACATCCAACATGGAACCTAGATCCCCCTACACTGGACCCCCCAAACAAGAGATCCCCAGGTCATAGCTGCGGCCTCCCAAATTCCAGTCAGGAACTTAGAAATTCCAACTAGGGAGCTCCTCAATCCAAGGACTCGAAATCCCTCGTCCAGAACCCTCACTCCCCCTCCTCAAGAACTTTCCCCAAGCCAGACAATCCCATGATTTGGGGGGCTCAACTTGAGATCTTCAGCCTATTTAAACCAGAGTCTTCTACCTCCCAGAATACCAGTGACCCCCATAATCTTTTTAACTATGAAATGTGCGACCCCCTAAACACTCCCCCAACAATGCAATCAAGACAGGAGACTCCACCTTTCTTAATCAGAATTCTTGTAGCCTTAAAACTCTGCCCCACTCCAAAAAGTACCCTGGAGTCTGAGACACCCGCCCCCCATTCCCGACCCCTCCCACCCTGCACTACCAGCATCCAGAGCACCCCCCCCCCTTTCTGAAGGACTCAGGGATCTGGAGTCTGGCAAGGCTCTGGCCAGCTTTTCCTCCCATCCCCCGCCGGGTGGCTCCGGGGCTTGACCGCCAGCTGCCGGCTCCTGTCTCGGCCCTCTCAGCTCGGACACCAGCGTCCTAACCCAGCCACCCTGACTGCCTTGGTCCCAGGTAGCTGACCTCAGCTTCCCCCATCTGCCCCTCCGACTCCTGGCTGGGACCTTGCCCATTCTCGCTGTTCTCACTTCCCCTTTTAAAACCCCCTCCTTTCTTGTTCCAATTTCTCCTCGCTCGAAAGGGCCCGCCCAGATATCCTTATTCTCCAGCCCTTCCTCCTTTGGGACCCTCCCCCCAGGCTTGGAGGCTCCTTCTTATCCTTCTTTACCCCAGCCTCTCCGGGTTCGGACATTCGGGTCCCCGCGGTCCCATTCTTCCAGTCCTCAGCCCAAACTCCATCTCCCTTCAACCTCTTGGGAGGCCGTAACTCCCCCTTGGTGGGGACCCCGTTCCTAGACTCACCCCTGCTCTTTCCCGGCCGGGGTCCTCCGCCTTCCTCGAGACCCCTGCCCGCACCTCGGCTGTGCCAACTGTCCCTGAGACTCACACGTCAGGAGTGTAGTTTCCCCGCTCCGGGACCCTCGGACCCCGTCCTCCGGGATTCGCCAGGCCCAGATGTCCCTCCATCCCCCATAGCCCCCCGAATTCGGGCGTCCTGCCCGCCGGGATCCCACCCCTGGGGCCACTCGGGCCTCTTTTCGCCCCGAGCCCCCTCTCGCCCCTCGAGGGCGCCCCCCTTTTGCGGCCGGGACCCTCCCCTCGCGCTCACCTCGCTCAGGGCTGGGCGGACGCTCCGGGCCGCGGGCCCCGCAGCCGCATGACCGGCCCCGCGGC